TCTAGGATTCTAGAAAAGCCTTAAAAGCTGGAAATGACTTGAAGGCACATCACGACCAACACAACAACGCAACTCTTTCCCATCCCATGTAGCTTCCTCCCATTGATTCAACAGACCTATTCCTGCCATTTTCTGACTGCCTGCATCCTTTCCCATATGGACCAATTGTCTTCCCTTTCCCAACCGCAGCTGTGTGCTTAACATCACTTTCCTCTATAAATAGCTTTGGGGTAATTCCCTGGTATTATTGGGGATTCTAACAGCATTAAAAACATAAGGACTGTGCCAGCAAGTATTCTCTTTAGGTTTCATGGGACTCGGGACAAATTATTGAAAGAGCTTAAAAGATTGCAAAGCTTTGCGCAGTGTTGGCTTATGCCTCATGGATTTCCACTCCAACTTCTTTTCTGCAAACCAAAGCCCACCTTAGACTGTTTTCTCTAGTGAAGAAAAAAGCTTCCCTGTATTAAAATAATTCAAACCCTCACTATTTTAATAGCAGTGACCCTCTGGAATAAAAACACTACAATTTTATTTATTTATTTATTTATTTATTTATTTTAAACCTTTTATATCCCAATCTTCTCTACCTCCCTAGAAGGACTCAGACTGGCTGACAGCAAAGATTCAATGCTAACACTAAAAATATAAAACACTAGCTGTGCCCTGCCACGCGTTGCTGTGGCCTATAGTAAAACTTATCAAAGTTGAGGTAGATATCTGGACTATTATGAAAGAGAGGTACCTACCTATTCCTTCCCCCTTTTCCTCCCCCTTTCTCTCCTTTCTTCCTTCTCTACCTCTTTCTTTCTTTCCTTCTTTCACTACTTGGTTTCATCCTTCTCTCTTTCCTTCATTCCCTCCCCCTTTCTTCCTTTGCCTTTCCTCCCTCCCTGTTTGCTTCCTTCTTTCACTTTTTATTTCCTTTTATTTCACCACCATCATAACAATAACAATAATGCAATGCATTGCCTCTGGGACCTGACACCTCTCCCATTCCTCCAGGGTCTCATAGGAACAATAGCATAATAATAATAATAATAATAATAATAATAATAATAATAATAGAAATAACAACCTTTACCCGCCACGTGTTGCTGTGGCCAATCTTCCCTCTTTCTCTCCTTCTTTCCCTCCTTCCTTGTGGGGTTGCGTGTGTGTGTGCGGCGGCGGGGGGAGTGATGGAGCGTGGGGTTGCGTGTGTGTGTGCGGCGGCGGGGGGGGGGGGTTGCATGTGTGCGTGCGGCGGGGGGAGTGATGGAGCGTGGGGTTGCGTGTGTGTGTGCGGCGGCGGGGGGAGTGGGGTTGCGTGTGTGCGTGCGGCAGCGGGGGGAGTGATGGAGTGTGGGGTTGCGTGTGTGTGTGCGGCGGCGGGGGGGGTGGGGTTGCGTGTGTGTGTGCGGCGGCGGGGGGTGGGGTTGCGTGTGTGTGTGCGGGCGGGGGAGTGGGGTTGGTGTGTGTGCGGCCGCGGGGGAGTGATGGAGCGTGGGGTTGCGTGTGTGTGTGCGCGGCGGGGGGAGTGGGGTTGCCTGTGTGCGTGCGGCAGCGGGGGGAGTGATGGAGTGTGGGGTTGCATGTGTGTGTGCGGCGGGGGGGAGTGGGGTTGCGTGTGTGTGCGGCGGCGGGGGGAGTGATGGAGTGTGGGGTTGTGTGTGTGTGTGCGGCAGGGGGTGTGTGTGTGCGGGAAGTGGCGCGGCGGGGCTTGGAGTGGGCATGGTTTCCGCAGAGGGAACGTTGGCCGGAAGGCCATGTGCGTGTGCCAGGGAACTTGCGGCTGGGCGCCAATGCGCATACTGTTGTTTTGCCGTTTTGTGAGTGTGTTGTTGTGTTGTTTTTCATTTTGAGTAGATATGTTTGTACCTTGTGGGTTGTGTTATGGCATGGGAATTTTGGTTAAGTTTCGTTGGGGGATTTTTGAGTTTTGTTGTTTTGCCGTTTTGTGAGTGTGTTGTTGTGTTGTTTTTCATTTTGAGTAGATATGTTTGTACCTTGTGGGTTGTGTTATGGACATGGGAATTTTGATTAAGTTTCGTTGGGGTTTTTTGAGTTTTGTTGTTTTGCCGTTTTGTGAGTGTGTTGTTGTGTTGTTTTTCATTTTGAGTAGATATGTTTGTACCTTGTGGGTTGTGTTATGGGCATGGGAATTTTGGTTAAGTTTTGTTGGGGTTTTTTTAAGTTTTGTTGTTTTGCCGTTTTGTGAGTGTGTTGTTGTGTTGTTTTTCATTTTGAGTAGATATGTTTGTACCTTGTGGGTTGTGTTATGGGCATGGGAATTTTGGTTAAGTTTCGTTGGGGGATTTCTGAGTTTTGTTGTTTTGCCGTTTTGTGAGTGTGTTGTTGTGTTGTTTTTCATTTTGAGTAGATATGTTTGTACCTTGTGGGTTGTGTTATGGGCATGGGAATTTTGTTAAGTTTCGTTGGGGGATTTCTGAGTTTTGTTTTTTTGCCGTTTTGTGATGCCCCTAACAAATTTATATATATAGATCATACATCAACATTAAATTAACAAATACATATAGGATAAATTAATAAAAGCCGTTCGCCAAGATAAAAACATGTCCAACTCAGTCCGTATATTCAGTCCATATATTGTGGTCAATAACTTTGGTCGATTGCTGGTCTCACCCATCATTCTGCAAAGGCCTCATTCCACAGCCAGGTTTTCACTAGCTTCCTAAAGGTCAGGAGGGAGGGGGCAGATCTAATTTCATTCAAGAGGGAATTCCATAGCTGAGGAGCCACCACAGAAAAGGCCCTGTCTCTCATTCCCACCAGAAGTGCCTGCGAAGGTGGCAGGACTGAGAGGAGGGCCTCTCCAGATGATCTTAATACTCTTGATGGTTCATAGGGGAGAATACATTTGAACGGGTAAACAGACAAATTACATTGCCTGATCAGGTCCAGAACTTGGAAAACTTCCCTTCAGGTCAGAGAATTGACATGCTGAAAGGGGGTAGCCAAAATGCCGAAAGGTTTGGACCCCAAGTCCTATGAGGAGCAGCTTGAGGAGCTGGAGATGTTCAGCTTGAAGAGGAAAAGGCTGAGAGAAGGGGATGTTGAAATATTTGAAAGAATGCCACATTAAGGAAGGGGCAAGTTTGTTTGCTGCTGCTGTAGAGTAGACACAATGGAGCCATGGATTCAGATTTAAGTGAAAGAGAATTTCCTGAAGTTGAATTTGTTGCCACTGGAGTCTCCGTCTATGGAGGTTCTTCAGCAGGGACTTGATGGCCATATGTCGGGAGGGCTTGGATTGGGTCTCCCTGCCTGGCAGAAGTGGGTTGGACCGGACAGCCTTCAGGGTCCCTTCCAAATCTAGGATTCTATTATTCTAATACAGGGCTGGATAGCATCAGGATTTGACTTGGGCAGCTTTTTCTGTCCCTTGGGATTACCATCTCAGTGGTCTGAGGTCCTCTCCACATCCTCACTCCTCCCCCTCCTCTTGAAGGCCCCTTTTTTGCTCTCTGGTTGACTCCTTCCAAAGCCCCCCCTTTACAAAAGTTTCCCCTCCATTTGTCCCCAGTTGCCTCCCTCTAAACCCCCTTTGTTCCTCCCTTCCTCCCCATTTTTTCTCTTTCCAAAGTCCCTTTCCTTCCCCAGTTGCTTCCTTCTAAATCCCCCCTTTATTCCCCACTTTCCTCCTTCTAAGTCCCTCATTTGCTCTTTGGTGGTACCTTTCCAAACTTCTTTCCCCCCCCTTCCCCCCCCCCCCCCACACACTTTTCTTTTCCTGTTGCCTCCTTCCAAAGCCTCCCTTTCCTCCTTCCAACCCCCCTTTGCTTCCTCCCAAAGTCCCTTTCCTTCCCCTTTGCCTCTTTGAAACCCTCCTGTCCGCCTTCCAAAATCCCCCTTTATACTTCCTTCCAAAGTCCCTTTCCTTTCCTCGTTGCCTCCTTCCGAATCCTTTTCCTTCTTCCAAAATCCCCCTTTATACTCCCTTCCAAAGTCCCTTTCCTTTCCTCCTTGCCTCCTTCCGAATCCTTTTCCTTCTTCCAAAATCCCCCTTTATACTCCCTTCCAAAGTCCCTTTCCTTTCCTCGTTGCCTCCTTCCGAATCCTTTTCCTTCTTCCAAAATCCCCCTTTATACTCCCTTCCAAAGTCCCTTTCCTTTCCTCCTTGCCTCCTTCCAAATCCTTTTCCTTCTTCCAAAATCCCCCTTTATACTCCCTTCCAAAGTCCCTTTCCTTTCCTCGTTGCCTCCTTCCAAATCCTTTTCCTTCTTCCAAAATCCCCCTTTATACTCCCTTCCAAAGTCCCTTTCCTTTCCTCCTTGCCTCCTTCCAAATCCTCCTTTTCCGCCTTCCAAAATCCCCCTTTATACTTCCTTCCAAAGTCCCTTTCCTTTCCTCGTTGCCTCCTTCCGAATCCTTTTCCTTCTTCCAAAATCCCCCTTTATACTCCCTTCCAAAGTCCCTTTCCTTTCCTCCTTTCCTCCTTCCAAATCCTCCTATTCCTCCTTCCAAAATGCCCCTTTACTTCCTTGCAAAGTCCCTTTCTTTCCCTTGTTGCCTCCTTTCGCATCCTTTTCCTCCTTCCAAAATGCCCCTTTACTTCCTTCCAAAGTCCCTTTCGTTTCTCCTTGCCTCTTTCCAAATCCCCCCTTTCCTCCTTCTAAACCCCCCCTCCTTGTACTTTTGGGAAGGTGAGGATGGAGACCCCAAACCCTTTTAATCCTTCCAAAGGCCCTTTCCTTCTTCTGTTGCTTCCTTCCAAAAACCCCCTTTATTCCCTTCCAAAGTCCCTTTCCTTCCCCTATTGCCTCTTTCCAAAGTCCCCCTTTTAACCCTCCAAAGCCCCCTCCCCACACTTTACAGCCTCTCTTTTGGGAAGGCCCATCTCCCCCAGGCTCTCTCCCTTCCGAGAGGGAGGGGCTGCAGGGCTTGGACTGCCTGGCCCTCCCCTTCTCTTCCCTCCCCTTAATCCATCCCTCCCTCTCTTCCAGTGCCTGCCTTTTGTGCTTTCAGCACTGTGAAGAGCAGAGAGCGCTTTCAGCACCATGAACAGCTCCAGGAGCCAAGGTGAAGGAGTGCCTTCGGGGACCCTTCCTGCCCTCCCGGCCCTCTTAGTGGGTCTGGGTCTGGCCAGTGGAGTGGGCAACCTCCTCTTGGCTGCCTCCTTGGCCCCGCAGCTGGCTCAGGGATGGCTGGCACCAGGCTACCCTTGGCTCCTCAACTTAGCCGTGGCGGATTGGACCCTAGGACTGTGCCGCCTCCTGCCACAGCGTGGGGTCTGGCTTTGCAAGGCCTCCGAGTGGCTCCTCCATGCCTCTTTGGCCACCAAGAGCTTCAGCTGGACGGCGGTGGGGCTGGAAAGAGCGAGTGGGACCAAGACCACCACCACCGCAACGTCCATCACGCTGGGCAAAGGGCACAGTGTCCGGAGCTGGGCAGGACTCATGGCGTCCACTTGGGCTGTGAGCTTGGTTCTGGCCTTCCCTCGCTTCCTCTTCACTCATCATCACAAGGAGGACCACTTTGCCTGGCCCACTTGCACCTTCCAAGCCCCTCACGCCAGCTTTGTGGAGGTCTTCAGCACCGTGGTGTACCCGCTGGCCGCCTGCTTGGCTCCTGCTGCCTTGGCCTTTGTTGGCTACTGGCGTGCCCTCCATGCTCCACCAGCATCCAACTGGAGAGATCGCTTGCCAAAGTCCAGGGAACTCTCGAGAGGACGTCGAGTGACTGCGACCCTGTTGGGTCTCACCTTCCTTTTCCATGCCATTTGGGTGCCCACATGGGTGGCCTGGCTGTGGGACATGGCCAAGGGAACCCAACCTCCATGGGCTTTGGAAGCTGCTGCTGAAGTCCTGCTTTTCCTCGATGGTGCCCTGCGCCCGCTTCTCTTGCTGGCCCTCTTGGCTGAGCTCCGTCCGGGGTTGAGGAGTGCTTCTTGGAGACGCAGCAAAGCTGACGACAAAAGAGAGGATGCCAAGCTGGGCTCTGGGACCAACAACCTTGAGGGAACATCCTTAGAAAACTTCGACAACAACGAGGAATCAGCAACCATGAAAAGGCTCCCTGACGTGGAGAATTTCTGGAAGGAGCGGAGGAGCACTGTGGCTAAAGAAGAGAGTGACCCAGTCCCCTGGGAGCACCTGAGTGACCCCTGAGTGAGGGCTCCAGGGTAGTTTCCAACAACTTGCCCATCAGATTACAGCTCCCATCATCCCCAGCTAGCCACCACCTTCCTATTGGTCATTGGTGGGAGTTTGTAGCCTCGGTTGTGGGCAGGGTGCCTTAGAAAGAAGAAGATGGTGTTGACCCTGCTGACAAACTTTCCTTCATCCAATGTTGGATAACCCATTTCTGAGGATTCCTGCACTGGCCAGGGTTTGGACTAGATGACCTTTAGGCTCCTTCTCACTATATGATTCTGTGCCAGGCATTGCAGTTCAATGTATTTAGTAGATGACCAGTGGGGCAGCCTTGGATCTATTCCAACCCTTGCATTGGGTAGAGGTTGGACTAGATGGCCTTTGGGGTTCCTGCCAGCAATGTGATTCTGTGATGGATGTTGTAGTCTAATGCCTTTGGTGGGGCAGGCTTGCATCTTTGGTGGTAGTGCTAGCGATGGGGGATGATGGGGCTTATAGTCCAGTGTCTCAGTGCAGGAGCTGGGTTGGATCAGACTTGCTTTAGAGAAGATGTTGTTCTTCTAGTCCAGTGGTTCTCAACCTGTGGGTCCCCAGATGTTTTGGCCTTCTGCTCCCAGAAATCCTAACACAGTGTTTCTCAACCTGGGGGTCGGGACCCTTGGGGGGGGGGTTGTGAGGGGGTGTCAGAGAGGTCACCAAAGGTAATCAGAAAACACAGTATTTTCTGTTGGTCATGTGGGTTCTGTGTGGGAAGTTTGACCTAATTCTCTCGTTGGTGGGGTTCAGATGGCTCTTTGATTGTAGGTGAACTATAAATCCCAGCAATTACAACTCTCTAATGTCACGTCTATTTTCCCCCAACTCCACCAGTGTTCACATTTGGGCATATTGAGTATTCATGCCAAGTATGGTCCAGATCCATCGTTGTTTAGTCCACAGTGCTCTCTGGATGTAGGTGAACTACAACTCCAAGACTCCAGGTCAATGTCCGCCAAACCCTTCCAGTATTTTCTCTTGGGCATGGGAGTTCTGTGTGTCAAGTTTGGTTCAATTCCATCATTGGCGGAGTTCCAAATGCTCTTCAATTGTAGGTGAACTATAAATCCCAGCAACTACAACTCCCAAATGACAAAATTAATCCGACCCCTCCCCCAACCCCACCAGTATTCAAATTTGCATGTATTGGTTATTTGTGCCATATTTGGTCCAATGAATGAAAATACATCCTGCATATCAGATATTTACATTATGATTCATAACAGGAGCAAAATTCCAGTTTTGAAGTAGTAACGAAAATAATTTTATGATTGGGGGGTCACTATAACATGAGGAACTGTATTAAGGGGTCGCGGCATTAGGAAGGTTGAGAAACACTGTCCTAACAGGTGGTAAATTGGCTGGGATTTCTGGGAGTTGTAGGTCAAAACACCCGGGGACCCACAGGTTGAGAACCACTGTTCTAGTCACTTCCTTTGGAGAGAATGGGGCGTCCCAATGCATTTTGTTCCCTGCATTAAATAATTTCCTTTTTCTTGCCCCAAATAGTGCTTTCATGAAGACCCCAGGAAATGAATACGAGGGTGAATTATTCTCATCTCTACTACCAGTCAAGTGAAGTTTTGGCAACTTCCAAAAGTGCCAATCAAGAGTGGAAGCAGGGATTTCCTGATCGAATAATAAATACTCAATAATGATCATTTAAACACATTACGGTGTTGCGTGTGTTTCTTCAATCATTCAATTACTTTTTTGTTGTTGTCCTAGACTTTAAGCTGTCCAGAAAATTCAGAGGTAGATTGGACTATGATCATTTCCATTTCATGAATTTTAAGAAGCAATAAAAGTAATGGCAACTTTAAACCCCCAACGTTTTCAAACAGAAGCTGGATGGGCCTCTGTCAGGGGTGCTTGGATTGTGTTTTTCTGCCTGGCCCAAGGGAGTTAGATTGAATGGCCTTGAGCAGCGTTTCTCAACCTGGGTTTTGTGACCCCCAGGGAGGTTGTAAGGCGGTGTCAGAGGGGTCACCAAAGATCATCAAATTACACAGTAATTTCTAGGTTGTTGTAGGTTTTTTCGGGCTATATGGCCATGGTCTAGAGGCATTCTCTCCTGACATTTCGCCTGCATCTATGGCAAGCATCCTCAGAGGTAGTGAGGTCTGTTGGAACTAGGAAAAAGGGTTTATATATCTGTGGAATGACCAGGGTGGGACAAAGGACTCTTGTCTGCTGGAGCTAGGTGTGAATGTCTCAACTGACCACCTGGATTAGCATTTGATGGCCTGGCAGTGCCTCTAGCATTCTCTCCTGATGTTTCGCCTGCATCTATGGCAAGCATCCTCAGAGGTAGTGAGGTCTGTTGGAACTAGGAAAAAGGGTTTATATATCTGTGGAATGACCAGGGTGGGAGAAAGACTCTTGTCTGCTGGAGCTAGGTGTGAATGTTTCAACTGACCACCTTGATTAGCATATAATGGTCTAATACCAGTATTAAAAAAAACTCTAAAATTAGAACAGCACAACAACAGAGAGGAAACAAACAAGGAGATCTAATCACCTCTCAACCAAAGATTGCTCCAGGCACTGCCAGGCTATCAAATGCTAATCAAGATGGTCAGTTGAAACATTCACACCTAGCTCCAGCAGACAAGAGTCCTTTGTCCCACCCTGGTCATTCCACAGATATATAAACCCATTTTCCTAGTTCCAACAGACCTCACTACCTCTTGCCATAGATGCAGGGGAAACGTCAGGAGAGAATGCCTGTAGACCATGGCCATATAGCCCAAAGAAACCTACAACAACCCAGTGATTTCAGCCATGAAAGCCTTCGACAATACACAGTAATTTCTGTTGGTCATGGGGGTTCTATGTGGGAAGTTTGGCCCACTTCTATCGTTGGTGAGGTTCAAAATGCTCTTTGATTGAAGCTGAACTAGAAATCCCAATAACTACAACTCCCAAATATCAAGGTCTATTTTCCCCAAACTTCACCAGTGTTCACATTTGGGCATATTTAGTATTTGTGCCAAGTTTGGTCCCGGGTGGACTTTAACATTTAACACAATTGCTTTGTGTTAAATGCTTTGAAATACAAATATTTAAAGAAATATGGAGTCATCTCACCCCTCCAACAATTATCCCATATGGATAGACATAAGAGGTTTGTCTACATTGCAGACTTAATGTGGTTTAACACCACTTTCAATGCTACAAAATGATAAGAGTTATAGTTTGATAGAACACCATCGCTCTTTTGCAGAGAAGGCTAAAAATGATGAGTCCCACAATTCCATAGCATTGAGTCTTGGCAGTCCAAGTGGTGTCAAACTGCATTAACTTTACAGTGTAGATCTGGCATGGGCAAACTTCGGCCCTCCAGATGTTTTGGACTTCAACTCCCACAATTCCTAACAGCCTACTGGTTGTTAGGAATTGTAGGAGTTGAAGTCCAAAACATCTGGAGGGCTAAAGTTTGCCCGTGTCGGGTAGATGAATCTCATCAGGAGGTGCAAGAGTTGGGGCCTTTGTTCATTGCCGCTTTGTGTCATTGGTATGGAATGCATTCCCATGCGCTCCGCCATCCGTTGGTTCCTTCTCTCCCTCCCTCCCTCCCTCACCCACCCACCCACCCACCCACCTGCTGGCTCCCTGTCCTCTCTTGCTGGCACTTTAATTGCTTTCAGGTCCTCTTTTCACAGGATGCCAAGGCTGATGGATTGCAGCTCTGAAGCTCAGTCAAGGATGGGGATCTTTCAATTCTCAGTTCGCAGATGGGGTCATCCCTCTTCACGACTCCTCTTGCTCTGTTTTCCCCTCTCTGTTTGCTCAGTGTGCCATGATTAGGAGTGGAAAACAAGCCCTGCTTTCACAGCAAGAACACACCCAGCTTCTTCCTCCACTTTTCTAACAATGAGTGCGGATGAGGTGCCATTGCAGTAGGATGCAAAAAGAGATTCCACCTATACATTACTTCAAGAACTTCCTGGTGGTTTTTAAGCAGAGGCTGGATGGCCATCTGTAGAGAGGGCTTGGGTTGTTTTCTTCCTGAATGGCACAATGTGTTTGACTGGATGACCTTTGGGGGTCCCTTCTGAAAGGGCAATAATCTATGAAACTAGAGAATCATAGAATCAGAGTTGGAAGAGACCTCCTGGGCCATCCAGTCCAACCCCATTCTGCCAAGAAGCAGGACTATTGCATTCAAATCACCCCTGACAGATGGCCATCCAGCCTCTGTTTAAAAGCTTCCAAAGAAGGAGCCTCCACCACACTCCGGGGCAGAGAGTTCCACTGCTAAACGGCTCTCACAGGAAGTTCTTCCTCATGTTCAGATGGAATCTCCTTTATTGCAGTTTGAAGCCATTCTTCCATTGCGTCGTAGTCTCCAGGGAAGCTGAAAACAAGCTTGCTCCCTCCTCCTCCCTGTGGCTTCCTCTCACATATTTATACATGGCTCTCATCATATCCCCTCTCAGCCTTCTCTTCTTCAGGCTAAACATGCCCAGCTCCTTAAGCCGCTCCTCATAGGCCTTCTTCTCCAGACCCTTGATCATTTTAGTCGCCCTCCTCTGGACACTTTCCAGCTTGTCAACATCTCTCTTGAATTGTGCTGCCCAGAATGGGACACAATATTCCAGGTGTGGTCTAACCAAAGCGGAATTGAGCATGGGGAGCATGACTTCCCTAGGTCTAGACACTAGGCTCTTCTTGATGCAGGCCAAAATCCCATTGGCTTTTTTTGCCGCCACATCGCATTGTTGGCTCATGTTTAACTTGTTGTCCACGAGGACTCCAAGATTTTTTTAACTTTTTCAAAGTTAAAAATGTACCCTCCTCTGTATTTAGAAATAAGCTTCCACAAAAGGTCCGTCTTGTCTGGAACATTGTGGTTAGCACCTAAGAAACATGTGGAAACAACAACTTTCACAAGACAATTCAGGCAGAAGGCTAAAAAACCGACAAAGTGTCTATTGCCATATATGGGGGAAAGAGCTATTTGGGTCTTGTACTTT